CCGAATTATCCACTAACCTAGTTTATGATAAGTTTTTGTCATAGATTATAAATATACATAGGCCTATAATTTTTCATATTTATTGTTTATTTTAATTTTCTTTATAATGAAGTAGTCTGTATCTAGTAGATTGTGAAAGAATGATTATCTGTTCCACACACAGAGATATGCCCCAAAAATGCAACTCCACAGGGCAAATATTGTACCTTAATGGAAAAGTTAATTTCTGACCCTGATGTGGCGCATTTTACTGTGACCAAAAATGATGCTAGAGTTGCAGTATGTAAAATTTGTTCGCTTGAAAGCATCAAGAGAGGCTCATTGGCCAAATAATTTTTCTGGTCTCATTTATCACCTAAGAACAGAAAGAACCCTGAATACCAAGTTCAATTATCTAAACTTTTTTATTTTGGTTAAAAAAAATCACTAATAATCTACATGGCTGCACAATCCCATGTACAGTCTAGCGTTTCTCAACCAGGGGTCCGTGCACAAAGAAAAAATAAGACTCACATCCACTTCAGACAGGGTCTGAGTCCAGCGGTAGTTTGAAAGATCTGCTCCGTTTCCAGCATTGGGCTTTATCTTGTCTTTGTCCTTTTCATCTTCCTCTCCTTCTGAGTCCGACTGACACACACATTACACACACACACACACCAGTGAGCATTAGACAGTAATCTAGAGCCGCTCAAATATACATCATCAGTTCACTTTTCACTCGTATATTTAACAATAATGAAATAAACCCCACTTACCCCTTTTTTGTCTTTTTCTGATGTATCGCCGTCTGTTTTCTCAGGTACTTCTGCATTTGTCTTTTCTTCTTTTGTCTGAGAAATGATGAAAGTTACAGATAAATCACATCCGATGCTTGCATGTTTTTAAAGGGACACTTTCCCAAACGTATGAACGTGGTATGAATGTCAATGGGTTAAATGTGCTCTCACTTGATTTAATTGTGCCTGGAGTCTCTCGGCCTCCTCATCTGTGAGTTCTTTGATTCTGGGCTCCTCTGCATCCGGCTTGCTCGTCTTCTCCTCTTCCTTCAGTTTAGCAGCTCTGTCGGTCTTCTCTTTCTTCTCCTTCTCTTGTCTGGACTGTTTCTCTTTCTGGGCTTTGAGGGCGAGCTGATTGTGATGAGCAAACGCCTCTTTAACCAGCTATAGGACAAAAGAAAGGAACGCAGATCAATCATTGATTGGTGCTCAATATATGCAGAATTTGAATACAAATAATTAAATGAATGACAAAAATTTATTTTGTTTTTCAAATTTACTGTGGCTTCAGAAAACTAGAAACACCTATAAACAGTTGTACGGGCTACTGTTATGCAGCTTTTATGGAGCTTGACAGACTGAATTACAATTTATTTTAATTCTGTGGAAAAGAGCAGCTCTGACATTCTGCTAAACATCTTTTAATAACATACAGGTCTGCAAGGACTGAATGATTTCTATACACTATGATTCATAAGTTTGTGGTTGGCAAGATTTTTTTTTTTTATGTTTTTGAAAGGAGTCTCTTATTTTCACCAAAACTTCATTTTTTTTTTTACCAAAAATACAGTGAAAACAGTATTATTTTGAAATAATATTACAATTTGTTTTCTAGGATAATATATTTTAAAATGTATAATTTATTCCTGTGATCAAAGCTGAATTTTCAGCATTATTACTCCAGTCTTTGTGTCACATGATCCTTCAGAAATCAGTATAATATGCTGATTATTATTTTTTTCTCTTTAGTCTTATTTAATTGTTCTTTCTGTTCTCGCGTCATATTTATATGCATGTACCAAGAGCTCCTAAAAAAAGCACAACAAATTCCTTGTCTGTTTGCACACACTTGGCGAATAAAGCTAATTCTGATTCTGATTCTTCTGATTTGCTGCTCAAGAAACATTTCTGATTATTATCACTGTTGAAAACAGTTGTGCTGCTTCATATTTTTGTGGAAACCGTGACACTTTTTTATTTTTCAGGATTATTTGATGAAAAGAACGTTCAAAAGAATAATAGAAATCTTTTTAACATTATAAATGTCTTTACTGTCACTTCTGATTAATGTAATGCATCTTCACTGAATAAAAGTTTTCATTTTTATTCAAAGAAATACATCTTATTGACAATATCTCACTGGTAGTGCAAAATACATTTATTATATATTTATTTTTTTCCATATTGATGGCAGAATATTTTAACTGTTGGGTGAACTATTCCTCTAAGAAAAACAAAAACATTAAATCATTTTCTATATATTTCTGGAAATATATAGAAAGGGGACATGACTTAAAATCTTAGTCAATACAGCTGACAGCAAATTCAGTCCAAATCCAAACAGTGTTGCCAGATTGGGCGGTTTTGAATTTGATTGAGCGGTTAAAATTGGCTTGGGCGAGTGGACAAAATTTGGGCTGGTTTGGGGTCAGTTTGACGGTTTTCAAACATATAAATTGCATAGGCTAATTGTTTAACAAAACAAGCCCAAGTATGTATAGCCTACTGCATCCAATCAGTCATCATAACGTTACTACACACACACACACACTGCAGAGGCGCTGGTGCTGATGTAAACGTCGACAGCCGCACTTATCACGAGGGCTCAGCAGACAGACTAATTATAGACAGATTCATGAGTGACAAGTTTTTAGCGTGATAAGTGATAACGTATCTGATTTTGAATGTAGTATGACTGTATATTCAAGTAATCACAATGCCTAAATATAAGTTAAAGAGTGGGAGAGTGACTCAACTCTCAAAACGTGAATTATTGTGGAGATGACACGAAGGCTCTATCACTGCAACTCCGAAATCAGAGCACATTTGAATTAATCATAACCGAAACTAAATAT